CGAAACCCCTTTATATTTGAATACTCACTTTTATCTTAAAGTTATATTAAATATATTCGTATAGGCAGAAGAACGACGTCCTTGAGCTACTGAAGCCATCGCCGTAATGAATCGGAGGGGTATATTATGTATTAACTATTAAAGCATCTTTACTGTACAGAAACAATTCTTTATTAATTACTACTATTTTCAATTAAAAAAAAAAATAATAATCATAGATAAGTCAAATGATTTATCAGATCGGAATAAAATTTCGTCTATATTCCAATGATGACAAATATTGAAATTATGTTGAAGTTTTAGTTCAACTATAGATGATCCTTTGAGCACTCTCTAAACAACTTTATAGTAAGAGTAATGTGAACGTATATGATTTATTACCTCAAAAGCGGAAACTTCCAAATCTTATCTGTTATTTTTCAACCCTGTTACCTTCAAACCATATTTTTGTACCAAAAAAAAAAAAAAACGAATACCTTAATAAATATTTGAGAATGCCAGGACCACTTAATTAATTAATTAACATCAAAATTCCTGCATTATTACTTTCAAATTAAAAAGCTTAGCATGAAAATGGAAGGCTTTTGTTTGAAATAGTTGTACGGTTACTTTAAGTATAGGATAATAAGTATATCTACAGCATTCGAAAGCTTAAAAACACGACAATTCTATTTAAAAGTTAACATATAGTCATCTCAGGTATGGAAGGCAAGTTTTTGATTATATATTGTTTTTGCGTTACACATACTCAAGCCTATATTTAGTTTCTTTTAGTAATCCCTACAGTTTAAGTGTATCGTAAAGATACTACATTTAGCAGATATTATGTCGTTCAATATTTACAAGCCTTTTTTTGGAATGAAAACTTTATTGTACTTCAGCAAAAGTAACGAAAACTGTTTATTTGAGTCCAAGTTTAATAATCCTTGATGGTAACGATACCGTTCAAGTATTTACATATAAAAATTGATATCAGTATCATATATAAATCCAATTTCGCTAAGACTTCATAATAAATAAAAATATAAAAATTATTTACATATTTTAATAAAATCAACAGTTTTGCTTTAAAATATTTTTACGATTGACACGTTACGTTTCAATCACATGAAAGCTTAATTCGCATATGGAAAATATAAAACTTTTTATGTCTGTTTTTCATATTTTACAATACTTTTAACATTTCAACAGAACAAGAATCCTTATTCCTGCATATATATGAATACATGTGTATAATTTTTTTCTACCGAACACAATAATGGCTTTCAAATTTATTATCCAATATTTTTATTTTATGAGTTTATGAGCAAAATGTTGATTTTACGATTTAAAATCATTTTCAATAAACCTTTGCGGTATTGCAATACTCATAAAAGTACAAAATTTCAAAAAGCATATAAAGTATAAGAGCATATATACATAAATACATCTAGTATATGTAATACGTCTTAATTATACAATACAGATGGATGATTACAAAAAGTACATCACAAGAACGTAACAAGTTGAATATATAAAATTTATTAAAACAAAAAAAAAATAATTTAATCAACTCAAATTCTGTTTGAAGAATGATTTTCATTAATATTTTTTTTGTTTATATATAATATATATGAGCGATACACGTTCAATTAAATAAAAATTTGTTGAGGTATACTTAATCTGATTAATTCAGATGTGATTTTTGCTTGCAATAATATTTATAATTAAAAATTTTGTATTGTAAAATACAGAGTATCAAAATAGATTCAAAAAGTATAGAAACCATAAATTATGATTAGTTACATTGAATTAATTATTTCAATTTTTTTTCTATTATATTAAATTATATATAACGGTTAGTCTGTATGTCAGACTTCACTAAGCAACCCAGAGGTCAAAACTGGTACTTTTATTTTCAGATGGCCTACCTCGTCGTGTTTATTGTTATGTCAAGAACATTTTTGTGATGCATGTATATTCAAGAGCTACCTTTATCATTATGGTGAGGGTTCCAGCATTAATTTCTGATTGTTGTTCCGAGTTCTCGATGAAATGTTCTACAAGAATTGTCGCTTTGCTCTTAACTTGAGCTAGACATCCACATATAGGTGGGAATTTGATAATGTTTTCACTTTCTTCTAGTAGATTCCGAAAAATTCGTCAGTTACTAACGAAAGTCTCTGTACATATAAACTCATTAGACTAAGGCTGATTGCATTGGTAATATTATTACTTATAACACAACTTTAGTTAATTAGTTTCCTGGTTGAACCATTTTGTCACCTAGATCATACTTTTTTGAGTTTTTCTATTTCATCACCTAATTATGTGGTCTTCAGATAAGAGCAGATACTTATTCTTACATGAGTACTGAAAAAATAACAGAAATATAATAGCTTACCACTGGACAAATATGAACGGTTTCATTTACTTCCCTTAAGTTGTAATATTTTCTGATATCAAGATTACGAATACGTTTTTACATCAACTGGCCTCGTTTAAACAAGACTTATTAGCAAGATTTTAGATTTGATAACATAAAGGGTATAAACTTTTGTTTGCTGTTTAGATATTATGAAGTTCTTCATAGCAATATTTACAGTATTGTTTCCGGAATCACCATTCTTCACATATGGGGCAAAAAATTCCTTGCCCACCTTTTTTATTAAATACGAATAAAAGGTACAGTAAGTACTTTTTGCTAAGCACCAAGCTAATGAATCCAAACCCATTTGTGTGTACTGAAGAGACTATTATATTACACATCTCTAGCATGGTTGTCATGACAAGTATCGAATCCATATTTCAGTTATTACAAGCTACCATGAATTTTATTTTTTATTAATTGTAGTTTCACTAAGGTTTCTTGTACAATTGTTCCGGCTGTACTAAGGATATACGTATCGACTATATAGAAAATTATCTGTATGGACTCGATGTCAATTGTATCTTGTTAAAGCACCAAAGGCTTTACTTACTTTCTTCAACGCGACGTTGAAGAGGAGGCAAACCAGAATATCGATATATATATGATTTATATGATTTATAATAAATAAATTTGTTCAAATTTTACAAAGTAGAAATAATGATATTGGACTATTAATTTTTTTGAATTTATATGTTTTATTTGATTCAGCTATTATATTACAGTTGGTAAATGATAAACTCACTTTAATCATTGAGTATTCAATCACTCATATATAGTCATGTTTCAACTTAACATAAATTGGCTTATTTATATTTAATATAGCAACTATGAATTTGTTATTTACTTTATGTATGACTAAGATAGTGATTAGTATAAGTGTTTAAGTTAATGTATTAAGAAATGTTTACAAAATCATTTTTAGATATTAACTCTGTCTTTGAACAGAGCCTATATAACAAATGATATTACACCAGAACAATCGCTATTTAGATAAAAGCTCTGTTTACATAAGTAATGTGTTATTAGTTTTTTAAAAGTAATTTTTTTAAAAAAGATATACGTGTTCTTTATATATAAAGTCAATTTTACTTTAACTTAAAGGAAATTTTATTTATGCATTTTTTTTAGAGGAAATTGAAAAAAATTTGATTTCCTATACTTATTATTTAAAGTATCACATAATTAAAAAGAAATTTTTTTTTTGTAATAATTGTTTTATAAAATTTTCTTTAAATTAGATTTTTCAATTTCAATGCTACATTGTGACCGAAAAGTTTCCGGAAATTTTAAATAAAACGCAAAATTCTTAATCTTCATCAATATTTATTTTATACTCCTTCAAAATATGCTCCATTAGAAGCGATA